TTCATTTTTTTATAAAATAAATAATAAAATTCTTGAAATTTTGCAGACGGATGCATACCAAACAACGGGTTGCTACAATTTACTGTGCTCAGGCTTTGTACAAACCAACAGCAAAATTGCAATCGGGGCTGCCATCTCTCCAAGGTCCTCCTATGATGGAAGCCAGTTCGACATCGGTTTAATGATTTGGAAGGTCGGTCTTTTATCATTAAATCATTCCCCTAATTCAATAATTAATGTCTACTTCAATAAAAAAAAAAAACAATAACGTTCTATACATTAAATATATTTAAAAAAGCACAAAAAATTAGGGGTATATACATTCATAAATCACAAATCCATTATATGTTATATATATATATATATATATATATAATTGAACCAAATCGAGAAACTACTATGTAAATCCCTACTTTAAGTGTCCAATCTAAAACGAAAATTCTTTTAAAAATATATTTTTGAAAATAACAAAACAAAAATTCCGTTAAAAATAAAATGATATAATTTTTAAAACAAAAAAAATCTAAATTTAAACATAACCAGAAACTACAATGTAAACCCCTACTTGAAATATACTGAATATTTGTTTTTTTTAGTGAATCAAAATGTGTAATCTCATCACAATATATATATATATATATATATGTATATATATATATATATATACACAGTTGCTTCAAACTTAAGATTTGATTTTAATAGTCGTAAAGTCTGGGGAGCACACCCACCAACACGTCTCACCTTTCCATGTACGCTGCTTCAATAGGACAGTTGATACGCTACGGCATGGTGTACTGTACGGTGGTTTGGGAAAATATTCTAATTAATCTCATTTATTAACTTTACTAAAACTTACTTTGGGAATATTTTCTCTTAACCAATCTTGTTTTGCGAAATATTATTATGCTTTAAGCAAAGATTCCGACACTTCTTTTCGAGTTTTTTTTTTAAATCGATTCTTAAAAAGAATAATATTTAATTGTTTTTTTTTCACTTTTCCAACTTTTCCACTTTATTTATTTTATTCCCCTCTATTTGCTTTTAGTAGAAGTTTTCTAAAAGTGAATGAATTGCATATCGTTATACATGGACTTCAAACATATAAATACATACTATTCGTATATATTTATATATATCTGTTGATATATGTATTAAAATGCTGATAATATTTATTTATATATTTGAAGTCCCTATATTGGGTTGAAGAAAAAAATTGTAACTCTAGGTTTCATAGAGTTATGATGCTATCATACAATTTGGGAAAATTGATTCTTTAAATAAGTGTTACATGTGTGTATATATACCATGTTTTCTAAACCCATGAAAAAGAGAAATTATAGAGATACGATCGGATATGTTTACAAATGTATAAAGATATAATGATAAATATTATATTTGTGTCTCTAAAATATAAATAAAACAAATCATACGGAATTTAATGTAACGCAGAGCTTGAAAAACAGCTATAGAGTTTAATATTATAGTGCCATCCTTAAGGGGATAAATTGAATTATAGGCGTATAGTTAATTAATAAAATTTAAGCATGAAAAACATTTGCCAATAAGTCGTGTGGTTTTCTTTCTTCTTTTAAATATTTTATAGAGATAGAAACAAACATCGAGTCATGTATTAAATGCCCTAAAAGTTACAACTATATTTTTATACGTTAAAATGAAATATTTGGTGGGTGCATTGAATGCAATATACGAAATTAATGGCGGAATTAAATATTTATGACGTGTATAGATTCTTTTGTAACTATCATGTCTTACATTGAGTTTACTCGTTAGGATCCAAAACATGGGCATTGGTGGCTTGAACTAGGGAATGGGCTACTAGTTGGCTATTGGCCTGGCTTCTTGTTCAGCCACTTGAGGAGCCACGCGAGTATGGTTCAGTTCGGGGGCGAAATCGTCAACAGCCGATCAAGCGGCGGGTCCCACAACACACGGCGACTCAGATGGGTAGCGGCCACTTCGCAGACGAAGGTTTCGCCAAAGCCGCGTACTTTAGGAGCCTACAAGTCGTCGATTGGGACAACAATCTGTTGGCTCTAAACAATCTCCATGTCTTGGCTGATCATCCTACTTGTTACGACATTAGACAAGGCAAGAACAATGTTTGGGGGACTTATTTTTACTACGGAGGTCCCGGCAGAAACCCTAGGTGTCCTTGATAATATATAATGTCTAACCACAAAGATATATATATATATATGTATGATGTGTTTGCGCATGGTTCCTCTCGCTCTCTGGTTTCTAGGGTTTTAGAGATTTTTGGGTGTTGGGTTATTTTCTATTTTTCAATTGCATTTTCCATTTGATATATATATTTTTTTAAACCGATTAGGGTTTGGTTCTTTCTTTTGTTGTTGTGTAATATTGGGCAGAATGAAGCATCTTGTGATGTATCCTTATACCAAAAATGAAGTAACTTTTTTTTTTCGAATTTATAAAAACTATATCCTTTCGATTTGTATATGAGATAGATACAGTTCGCATTTAATTTTTCACTTAATATAATCATTTCTAAAAAAATATTTGTTTTTAATTTGAATTCATTTGATTTAATGTTTGTAATCGAGAAGCCGCGAGGGGCAAGGGGCGAGCGAGCGACTGCACGTGCACGAGGAGTGAATCGTTTCTTTTCCCCCTCGAAGGGGTAAGAAAATTTCCCCCTAATGGTAAACTTAATTCTTAAGGTAAGAAATTTCAATTTAAATTCACGAGATTAATGTTTTGTCTCTTCTTTTTATCAAAAGTTGCCTTTTTTTGTTCGTCCCAAAGTCTGCATTAATGTTTCCCTTTTATTATGACTTCGAATGCAAAAGCCGAAGATGGATGGTTAAAAGCATTTAACTTTAACAAAAAAAAATCGTAATATTTTCCTCCCAAATTTTGTTTTTAGAAATTCCAAAACGAAAATGTTAATTCTCCAGAATTTTGGTTCGGTAAAAAAAAATCTACAGCTAATAGTACGAGCGGTTGATGGATACATTTACACTTAGTAGTTGGAAAGCCCGTCGATTTTGATGACTGTTTGATAAATACTTGTTATTATAATTAGATATTTTTATTGTAATTTATACTGATATCGCAAACTTTCAACGTGAAAGGTAATAAACTATAGCTGTTATCGAAACATTTAATATATTTGTAATCAATTGATGGAATAATTTCTATTGTATATTTCAGACATGTACATAACTGTTTTATATTTCATCCTACTGTTGACGTTGCCAAAATCAAAGTTTTTAGATCTAGGAATTTATTTATTTGATAAAAGATTCTCCGGCATTTAAGAAGCATCTAAGATTCCGTTCAAACCCATCTCCCAAGAACTTTAAAAAAAAAACTGCTATAATTAATCTACAAGTCAAAATTCAATGATACGAAACAATAAGTTTGTGCAGAACTAATTAAGATTAAGAGATTAAATTAATAGAAAGAGATTAGAAACTGTCCACATCTTCGATCGGACAACATACATTACTATTTGAGGAAGCATTAAATGCTTCTTACACGGTTTTTCTTAGGTCCGACGTTTCGTCCCAATCGAAAAAATGGTATTTTTTTTATCCGAATTGTTCTAAATTCCCGAACGGTATTATTTTTAGAGAACCGAATTTTCCAGAAGTGAACCGAACCGAACTTTAAAAAATCCCGAAAAACCGAAATTTTTTAAATGAAAACTATATTTTTTTAATAAAAACCGGAACCGAATCAAACCGGTACCGAATCCGAAGCGAACCGAATATAATATAAAAACCGATTGGTACATATTTTTGTAAAATCGAAAAAACTAAACCGATATGTTCTCGTTCCGAACCCGAACCGTTTTCCGAAAGACCCTAGTGCCAAGTTAAAGATTGTTTCTTCATTTCTAATCAGAGAAATCTTCCAAAAAGTCCGATGATTTAGCAAAAATTGTTTTTTATAATATGGAAACCCGAAGTCATTTCAAGGATGAAAACATCATGCAAAAAGAAATCAATTAATATGTTTCACACCTCGTTAATCAATTCAATTGAAATACTTTGGTAAATAAACAGACCCACAAGACAATCAAACAAGGACAAACCTTTTATCATCACTTTATAGGTAACGACATCTCGTTCAGGCATTTTACCGAACACATTCAGGACATGATAGAGATTGTCATTATCCAACAAACTTCATTCCACAATACAAACTTGAATATCAATCATCTTGAGGAAGAAGGTAACAAGGAGCCACACAAAGATAAGTTTCAGATCGAAGGTTTATTGGGTTTTAGACCTCATGTTTGATTTCGGATCGAGAAAATACGATAAAACCTGATCTAAATCTGATCACTTATGAAGAAAAAAAACAGAACCCATTGTTTGTTTTGGATATCGGTAGAATCTTGTCAGTTCTTTGTTCTTGAATCGAAGATGATGAAAATCCGAAGAAACCAGAAAAGAGGAAAGACAATAAAATAAAACATACACCAAAAGACGATAGAGATGATGAATTCCGGTGAGTTCCGACGAAGAAAAACCCTAATCGAAGAACACAAAAGAGATGGTTTGATGAGATGAAGATGAGGGATTTCAAAAGAGAGAGCATGAAGAGAGTTTTAGCTTCTTCTTTTTAATTGTTACAAGGATATTTTGGTCATTTGATTTAAACGCATGGAAACGCTACCGAAACGCATCCAAAAGCCAGCGTTTTGATTTTTGAAGTTTGGTTGTGGTAGCGTTTGCCTGCGGTATGACCAATCAGTTTCGCAACCGCCACCAACCGCCAGAAATCGCAACTGCTCCGTTTGCGGTTGGTGGCGTTGCAACCAGTCACCCCCTAAATGACTTTGTGATTATCCATTCTTCGCGCTTTTTCCGGTACTCGCATTGCTCCTGCAGCTCATCAGCAGAGAAATGGTCCGGGAAAGGAAGCAGTTTTTCCAATCGGCAATCCGAACCAGTTCAGATGCATGAAACGAATGCTGAACATGAAAAATTGTCCACGAAGGCTTGGCCTTAAACGTTCTGTGAGCCCGAGATGCCATGATAGAACGCCATCATCGGCTGCGAATGAGGAAACTCCGGAGGAAACGCCTGCTCCGCAACTATCAAGTGAATCTTCTGCTGCATCTCACAAGTAATCACAGATTTGGAGACTCTGTGCACTGATCACTGTGTTTCCATGCAATTAAACCCAGCTAATCCCCGGGACTTTACCTTCTTTGCTTTCTGATATTCCGTCTCTCAGCATTTTAACCTCATCCCACCTCCCGTGTCTCGCGTACACATTAGAAAGCATGACTTTATAAGCGCTTTTCTCCGGATCACTTTCGAAAAGCTTCTCGGCTACAACTTCAGCCAAATGAGCATCCCCATGAGATTCACAACACGCCAAGAGCGCTCCCCAGATGCCAGAATCAATCGGTTCCTGCAAAGATGAGACGAATCCAAATGCTTCTTCCAATTTCCCTTCCATTCCCAGAAGCTTTACCATGTAAACATGATGCTCTGGCCGAGGCTCAAGACCGAACTCATTTCTCATTATCCTCAAGAACTCACGGCCTTTATCCAGTAGGCCCGAGTGGCAACAAGTACACAGGAGAGCCGAGAAAGTACCCTCGTCAGGACGTATTCCCATCTCGAGCATATCCTTAAACTTTTCAAATGCAATGGAGGCAAATCCATGTAAGCCAAGACCCAGAATAATGGCATTAAAAGAAACAACATTTTTCTCTGCCATTCCAGCAAAAACATTGATAGCAGAATCTAGGGAACCACATTTTGAGTAGAAATCTATCAGAGAAGTGCAAACCATTATATCCAGTTCTAATCCTTGCCGAAGAACATGACCGTGTACCTCTTTCCCCTGCATTGGATTTGATAATTCTGCACAGGACCCTAATACACAAGCCACTAATATACAATCAGGCTTCTTCTTACAACTCATGTTTAACTTGCTAAACCAAAACAATGCCTCCTTGTGATTCATGCATCTCGAAAAACCTGTTATCAAGGAAGACCATGCAACCAAATCCGGCTCGGGGACAGTGAGGAACATGCGGTAAGCCGAATCAATGCACTTACATCTAGAATACATGCTTACTAGCGCACTACCGACATGAACTTCATAATCTAGATTAACTTTCAAACAGAATCCATGGACAGATTGACCAATGATTAACAAACCACAATTCGATAAACCGGCCGTCAAGCCTGCCATGGTGTAAAAATCCGGTCTTTTTCCAAGATGCAGCATCAAACTAAACAAACTGATTCCTTTATCCCAGAATCCGCAGCTTCCATAACCAGAAATCATTGCATTCCAAAGAACGACATCTGGGTCCGGTATCGAATGAAATACCTTAGTTGCTTCACCAACAAGACAGAGTTTCGAGTAAGCTGTCACAACTGCACTGCCGCAAATATGATCGAATCCAAGACCGGAAACAATCACGCCGCCATGAACACGTCTCAGCCCCTTGGAATCGAAACTCTCCGAAAACCCACGAACCAAACACGCGTACGTGAAGTTATCAGGCATCGTATCAGATCCCAGCATCTCGTAGAACAGCGAAACTGCATCACCCATTTGACGAGCTTGTGAGTAAGCTCGAATAATGGAGTTCCAAAGGAAAACACTTTTCTGGGGAATTTCGTCGAACAATTTGCGAGCAGAGTGAAGATCACCGTTTAAGGCATAGAACCTGACAAGCTTCGTTGCGAAGAAAGGGTCACGAGCAAGGTGGGTCTTCGCGACGAAAGCTTGAAGTTTCTCGGTGCTTACCATCGTCTGAAAGGTCTTCGCGAACTCGGAGATGATTACGCGGAATAACGACGGCATTTAGCTAGAGATTTTGCCCCTTCAATTTGATTTCTTCGCTTTATTCTCTTGTAATCAAGAACGGATACAGTTTCATAAATTTTCTTATTGAACCATAGTGAAATCATACTTAGAAGACCTTATGCCATGGTTAAACGAACAAAGGGTCAGCAGTGAAAATATATGATCACTGTTTGCATGACGCCCAGAAAATATACGATTATTAACCTATAGTTTTTTGAAATTCTAGTAATTTATACGAATCTATAGAACTTGAATAATATTGTCTAAATAATATATAGCATTTACGTTTCTTTCTCAATTTAAATATCCAATTCTTGCTGTAAAATAATTGAATTTGTAGGTACTTCCAAGCTATTCTCATAATAGTTGAAGCAATAAATTTTTTTTGTCAAAGTAATCCTTAAAAATTGTTTGAAAGCCATATTTTTAAAATTATCAAAATGCAAAACTAATGAAATAACACAAAAAAAAATTTGAAAATTACATTTTTTTTACTAAACTCTTTTGAAACACATTATTTTATATTAATTTTAATTTGCTGGGGTTATCCCACCAAATTATCATTTATATTGGTTAAAGTTTTAAAGGTTGCAATTTATGTGAATTTAGAATATTATGTGATCTTTGTTTTTTTTTCTCTTTTTTCCCTTTGTCAAATTTTTGACATATTTTTCATGTCAACAGAATCCAACGGTTCATTAAAAAAAATGAAAACATATAATTTTTATTTTTGGAGGTACGTATAGTTCTTTTTCTTTGTTGATATGTTTCCTTATCGTGAACAAAAGAAATTTGGAAGACAATAATAGTGTGTAATAAAGCATGGGTGGTCGTGCAGTGTTCTTGTCTTGCATTTGATGAGCTTTCAGACATGGGCTATGGCACAAAAGGCATGGGCTATCATTTCATGTTCTATCTCGGTCACAAAAATAATATAAGACGCATGTATCTAAAATATTATTATGGGATATATATATATATATATCATTTGGCAAAATTTTGAAAAGAAAGGACAAGAGATTGGGGATTGCAAGACTAAAAGACCGACTATGCGTGGATGGTTATTTACATATTCCATCGATTATTTTTCATTCAAATATTCAAATTTTAGTTTAAAAATTATTTAATCTATTTTAAACATTAGAATGTTATTCATTTTTTATATTTATTATTTTTTTCAAATTATATTAATTAAATTTGAAAAATTATAACTACTATTGTTATATTATATCATACACCTTTCTTTTTATCATTAGTAGATGTTATTTAGTCGGATTTTGTACATTAGACTTTATTTTGTTTGCGTACGATTTGCAATTTTATTAGATATAGGTCATGTTGTGGTTCATAAATGACTTATTATTAACAAATATTTTGTGACGTTAGAAACTTGGAATCAGGGAGCACGCAAAATGCTTTAATAATAATAATAATAATAATAATAATAATTTATTCAGAAAAAATTTGACACTCTTTGTCAACAATTTATGATTGCTCTCAACTTTTACCACTTCATGTTACACGCAACAAGGGAACAGCTTTTGTCATTGATTTTGGGCAATGCAATCCCATGTTTTTGTCAGCCTTTTCCGATTGTTTTCACATCGACCCCGAAACTTAACAAATTCTCTGAATTTTCCCCATACTTGCAGAATTGTCAGCTCGAACCTTCTGATATGCTTTGTAAAGACGGCTGCCACGATCTTGAGATTCTCGGCCTTTGTTTTTCTTGCTTCTTTATCTGAAACAAAATTATTTCCAAAATTAAAATGGATTTCGACCCGAATTGGTTATGGTTATTGAACAAATTCATATTATATGAAATAAAATTAAAAAGAAAAGTCACCTGAATTTCCTTGTCAAGCTCGATTGATTTACTCGGCATTGCAACATCTAGATTCTCTGCCGTTTCTTTATGCTGCTTCTTCAACTTTGCACATTTCTTTGCTAACAATCCTTTCTTTACATCTGAATGTCACCCCACAATTTTCAAAATGTTCAAAATAAACCCAGATGATTTCTTTGGAGCAACTTCAACCGCAGAACCCCGGAAGCTCGCGGAGAAAAAATTTTCAAATTCAAAACGAGATCTATACAGCACAGCACGTAGATACATACATATATATATACATGCATGCATGCATGCATGCGTGCATACCTTGAGTGGTGATGAGTCTATAGACCTGTCCAAGGGCGAGGGTATCTGTCGGTCGGAGAAGCTTGATCCTCGTCAGCCGAAGCGGCGGAGGCGCGGTGGCTCCGCCGGCTCCGGAGAGAGTGGTGGTGGAGATGAGAAGAGCGACGTAGTGGCCGGGGTTCATCTTCATGACATAACTCGCAGAGACAGGGATACTGAACTTGTCTTCTTTCCCACTTGGGTGCTGAATCACCACTGATGCTGTGTCCACTGCTTGGCAATTTCCCATCTTTTTTTCTTCCTGGGTTTCAATGGGAACTTTTTTTTTTCTTCTCTTTTGTTGTTTTTGAAAGATTTTGATGTTTTCAATGGAGATTGAGAAGGAGGGCAAAGCAGAAATGTACTGACGATGAGGGTGAACAAAACAGACTCTTGTCTTTCTTTATATGAGAGAGAGAGAGAGAGAGAGAGAGAGAGAGAGAGAGAGAGTTAGTGGGTTCTCTCGGTGACGGTGGAATCAAAATAATTAGAGTCACATTTACATTTCCATTGAAAACAACAAAAGAATAATTACAGTCACACATACATTTCAACTAGAAAATAAAAAATAAAAAAATTAATATTAAATATAGGAAATAGTATACGTTAAGTCTCCCTTTGAATCCGGGATTCAATCATATTATGACTTGGAATTGATGTTTTCATTTCACTCTAACGACATCGTATGGACCCGACATTTTGTATGAAACAACAAATTAAAACTTTTAATCAAAATTTAAATTTTCACAAAATATTGCCATTTTATTAAAAAAAGTGATATGTGTATAAATAAACCAAATTATATCAATTAAACAGTTGTTCTTTTATGGCGGTTTGGTTTATATGTGATGTGAATATAATTACTATATATGATTGCGATAGCTTTGTACAAAATTGAAATAAGTTATATATATAATAAGAAAAGTAAATTTTTTAATGTATGTTTTTTCATAAATATTATTTGTTTAGATTCTTTGGCAGTTTTTATAAGGTTCGATAGTAATGATGTTTTTTTATTAGAATTTGATATTTTAAATGTTAATTATCCATCAAAATCTATATTTTTTTTTGGGGTTATCTTCTTTTAAATAAACAAATAATAGAAAAAAGGTTATATAAAAAAAAATGGTTCACGAGACATGCGTTTCGAACCTCATTATTGTGCGTTTCCATTCCAACCTCATTATTGTTTGGTCCAAAGAGATTCCAATGAGACCGCAAAATCATGAAGACTGATTTATTTTAATAATTTTGAAACAAAGCTAAATGCTTTTATCACATACTAATATTGATATTTTAATTCTTCCATTCTCCACACTATCTGCTATGACCATATCTATATGACTCCATTTTTAATTATATTCAAATCATCCTCAATAAATTTATTTAAAAAAACCGTACTTGTGAAGATATTATAATTCTCTAGATAAAATAGTTCTTTTTTTTGGGTGACCAGGTATCTTGGACCGAAACCCAAATTAATATCGGAACCGGAAACAAGACATTTGATTCAAATTACACTCTCATTCTCAACTTGAGGCTCGAACTCGGGACGAGATAAAATAGTTTATCTAAATGCTTTTGAAATATACAAATTATTCGTTGTTAGTTGTATAACCAGAATGGAAGACTCACTATATATATATATATATATATGTATTAGTTTATCTTACCATGAACCAAAAAATTTGAAGCATTCTCGACATTAATCTGCTGATCCGGTCCTAGCCCGCGCTAACTCCGACAGTTTTGGATTCAGACCGGTCCAAATTTTTCTGGTTTAAGAAACTAAACCCAAAGCTCGGTTTTATATTACTCGGGTTCGGATCAATCTTGTCCATTTGATTAGAGTTATTCTTTTTTATTTAAATTATTTTTTATACATTTTTTAAAAAATCAGATTTTCGGATTGGTCTCAAACCCATTAATTTAATCATACCAAGTCCTAGTTTAGTCTGATTTGAAAGTATGGATCATTTTATTAAAATATTATAAAAATTAATCCAAAGCTCGGTTTTTATAGGATAACGATTT